TATACAGGATGTTACATGAAAACTCATTCAAAACAAACTTGTTTCATTGATTTAGAACAAACAGGATGACCTAGGGTTCCTTATATTGCTAAGCATGTTGATGCATTTTGATCTGCGTGCATCTTTTATAAAAGCTCTAGAATAAAATGGTAACTTTTTATCTCTTTCTATCTCTTCACGTTCTTCAGTGGTGATAACATAACGGTGGAAAGGAACGTGTTTACCTTCAATGCGTCTTTCACACAAAGCCTTCAGCACTCGGTAAGTTTCTGGGAAATGACCGCAGTCACTTGCGTACTTGTAATACGCCTGACTGAGCAAACAGTTTTTCTCTAGACTAAGACGTGTAGGATCTGGACGTCTGAAGAGCCTTCTTTCATTCTTTGGAGATAAAACTTGAACGATTCCCACACCTCGGGCATCCATTCTCTGGATCTATGCCCCCGAAAGATGTTGGGACTTCCTACACTGTTAAAACCGTTGACACACATTAAACACTCTTTGTAATCTTGGGGTGTATGGCGCTGGTGTTGGATAAATGCTTTCTGTATAGCCTCTTGGCGTCGTTTTTCAAAACATCGCCTCTATGTCTCCATAAGGAAGGAATCTTACGACCTGTGGCTGAGGCAAATACGAGAGCCGCTCCTTGATACCATGCGATATTGGCTGGTCTATCCACATGAAAAAGTTACACTCTTTTTTGTAACATGTTAGAAACATACGATCCTTGCTCAATTAAGGCTGTTTACTTTTTCTCAATGTAGGATTGTTAGAACAATCACAGACCTACTGAACTGCGTATTGTTTCACATCAGAGAGTGTATGATGTGCGATCCACTCTATGACCTCTTTCCATTCTGAAGCAAGGGAAAACATAAAGCACATTTTCTCAGGGCAGAGCACATAGCAAAATCCCTTCGCTTTTTCTACCAATTCCAACATTGAAAGGGGGTAAAACGGGCAGAGCTGACCAGGTAAAAAACTCGCCTTATCTTCTGTCAACATAGGTGTAGCACTCGATTCAACTTGCGTGTTTCGAGCAATGTTTTAAAAATATTGGTGACAGTAAGACTTTTTTCCTAGCAACCTGAACTTGCTACAACGATAGCGCGTTCAAAAACTGCCCGCTTTTATTTTGAACACATAATAGATAAGAGGAACGCTCCTTATGCATAATTCAATTTGACCTGTTACCGTCCTCCCCGGGCAACCCCCGGGTAAGTCCAGCCCTTCGGTCCCGGGGCGGATGGGAATTGTTTGAAGCGGTCCTGTCACGGGGGTAGGGGGGTGGGGTAAATAAAAATAACTTCTCTTTGATTTTGCGAAGTCAATTTTGCAAAGCTCCTAGTGCGGTTTGCACGAAGCTGCGGAACTCAAGATTACGTATTTTGAAGGGAAAATGTACGAATTTATCGAAGAGTGGTGGGAGAGAAATATAAGCTATCAAAATTTCAGTCTGTATTTCAGGGTATGTTTTAAAGATTCAAACGAATGTGCGTATGGTGCGTACTCGAATGGAGGATTTTTTTGCAATAGAAACAAAGAAATATTTCTTCAACCTAGTTTAATAATAACACAACTTAAATAGACTTACCCTGCGCACAGACGGGGACGGCTGTACACGGGCTGAAATAGACTGTATATGAAAACGGATACATGGCACTTTACAAGACCACCAGTCTGAATGTCATAGTCCGATCGAGATAGCTAACCAATAAGAATGCTTGAATAACCAAGATCACTGAAATAGACATTCAGACTACTGTTCTTATAATGTGCTCTAAGGCCCTTAAGAGTTTTTTCTTTCTTTTCGTTTTCGAATGCATTGTTCATGTTTTAACTACAAACATGTATTATCCTTCTCTCAATAAACTCTAGAAAACGTTTCTAAAAGTTCTGAAAACGTCCCATTTTGTTATTGTACGGAAATCACTATTGCTTTCAAGAAGATGTATCCAAAGAAACGTATATGAGGTCGATCAGGCGATGGGGAATTGTCTCCCTTTGCGTGCCCGGGGGTGGGGAATAGACCACTAGGAAAGAAAAAAATTGCAATCCCACTAAAAGGTCAAATTGAACCATGCATTAGTAAACGTATACCGAATTAGTATCCAGGAAGGTATGTGAATGTTAATGACTTACTTATACCTGTACCTACACGACACTAACGAATTTATATACAGGAACGCAGTTGAATATTAATGAAGCACCTATACCTAAACACCAACAAGGCTTAATTCTTACCCTCGACAACTACTTACAACTTTGGTGATTTTCACACATCCCAACCGCTAGTCAGGGCGTTTCCATTTCTGTTCTATTATTCTCTTTTGGTTTTAGTACACCGACTCACAATGGAGTCGATAAGCTTGGCAGGGTAGTGGAGCTGTAAATATGTGTATTGTATCTAACGCCCTAAAGAACAATTTAGCTGTTAATCAACTCCCCTAGGAATCCAACGTGAGCCTAGCCCTTATTTGCATTTGTTGTTTGTAACTTAAATCGCCTTCTAGCATATTCAGTTCAGCCTTTTTTTCAACGTTGTTTCTTCAAGAGCACTAAGTAGTAGTTTCCTATCAGGAGTATCTCCTTTGCGGTCAGAAGGTTTGGGCCAAAACAATGTAAGTGCGTTGTCCATTCGTTTGCTGTATTTCATCTTTGCTATATTTCTTTTACGTTCGCAGTATTTCTGAAGTCTTATTTTCACCTTGTGTTTCAGTTTAAACCACAACATAACACATCAATACGACAAATTACGGTTCGTCGGACCTAATGTCAGTCGAGTCTTTAAGGTCAATGGTCTACCATCTTGCTTATTGTTGTAACCCTCGAGGACTCAAATCGGAATAAAGTTGTGCGTCTATTGTTAGCGCTGATCGGTAAAATAATTCACCTTATGGCAGCTATAATGTGGACTTTAACGATGAAGATATGATTAATTGAATTCATGATTTTTTCCAGATGACGATCTTCCTAATGACCCTTACATGAACTACTTGCTGTGTCCGCACTTTCACTTTAGTGGGACGTTTCTAGCAGATGCTCACACTGGTAATAATAAAAATTCCAACTTCAACCCTGAGAAGTTCAACCAATCCGACATGTCATGGAACCCGAAAGGAAGCGGAATGTGGAGCGTAAGTGCCACTGTGACCGGGATTTGCTATACCAACGGGGACTGGGTCGAGTATGGAGGAGAAGATAACGCCAACGATGATCCAATATTGGGAGCTCCTGTACTGGGTAAGAAGGGCCCTAGGAACTTACTGTATGGATTGTGAGATTCACACTGATTCACAGCGTAACATTAAACAAGATTCATCATCATGCATGGAGGACAAATGTCTCCCATATTCGATAGATACCCAAAATAATCAGTTTAATAATGAGTACTGAAATTTTAATTACAAAGAAAGAACAACCGTTCTTATGCCACAAGTTGATGGAATGTTGTTGCAAACAATTCAATTCTGGCCTCCGGGGGGGTACCCGTTTTTTTTCCTTATAAGATACTAATATATCTAAAATGCACTTGAAATTACCTTGAAACGGAATACCATTTACCCAAAAACAGTTTGTCAGGGCACTGAGACTCCTAGTCTTCCTTGCAGCCGTTTTTAGTGTCGCCACGCAATGCTCCTCCCCACAACTTTATTGATGTTTCCGGGGAGGAGCGTTGCGTGACGATACTAAATGGCTGCGAGGGAAACTGTGAGTCTCCAGTCCGTCCAACCTTTTATAACTTTATAAATCGGAATATTTTTAAAGACAGGCTAATGATATGAGTGTCAAAGACAAGGCAAGACAATATATATATTTAGTAAAATCAAACTAGTTGTCTATTATCAATGCTGCGTTCTGATTGGTTGAGCTACTACTAGGCTACTTGTTATAGCCCACTAGTAGCAAAAAGCTCCGGCCTTGAAAACCGAAACAATGGCAGCTGAATCGCGTTTTGATAGCTAAAGTTGTTTTGCCTTGACATTTTTGATCAACTAGTTTGACTTACTAAAAACTATTTTTCCTCTCGCCCTCGTGGCCTCTTAGTCAATAGCCCACTCGGGTTGTTGACTCAAAGCCCATTCGGGCTCGAGGAGTAATTGCTATAAAGCTATTCAAATGAAGAAAAGTTTCGGAAATGTTCAATGTGGCCAGTATTGAAATACTTATAAAAAGAATCTTTTATTAAAGTCAGTGTAAGATTAAGAAAATTTCTAGTACCAAACTGCTTTTCTTATTCGTCAGATGGTGGGAACAAGACGTCTGCAAAGCTGGTAGACCTGGACACTGAGGTTGAATTGTATTATTGTGAAATGTGGGGTTGGAGAATTCGAATAGGGGATTTGTTTTCCGCTGATTATACTCCAATACCACCTCAGTACCTGTGGAAGAAAAAGATTGCCAAAGAAGGGGAGAAAACTAATAGTACTGCTTTTGGTGTAGCTTATCAGTCGGTGCTATCAAACATTTCATGGATAGACAATGAAAACGGCTCCCCGTTTATCCAGAAGCTTCAAAGGGCGATGAGCCAAGATAACATTTCCAGCAAAGATCTTTCTATACGTTTCAATCTTGATATGTACGAGACCTATTCAAGAAAAAACACCTTTACAACGGGACGCATAACGGGTATAAGTTTTCTTCCGTCTTTTTATTTTAATTTTAATTTTCTCACGGTATGTCACTGGTTCCACATTCGGGCCATTTATACGGGATCAATTAAGCCGCCGCTTACTTAAGACGCGAACACCCCGTCTAAATGGTACAAAATCTACGTTCACGACTTATTCAACCCATGGCTAGGGAGGAGTTTTGGGCTGGGCTTATCCTAGCCGCGGCTTACCTTGGACGTGAAAGTGTTCGTATAAATGTCCTCAAACGTTGTCCGCGACTTGCCGAGGCCGTGAATAATTTTTGCGCATGCTCTGTTTTCAGTTATATCCCAGACCTTCACGGCCGAGAGACGCGCACTGCAGTGTCGGGGAAATGACCTGCTGCACGAGAGGGCCAGAAATTCGTCTAAACTCAGCACCTAATCCATCGCCGGAACGTCTTTTTCAAACTACTCGATTGATCACTGACGAACTTTTCAACGAGGTTTTCACAACAGCCCAAGACTAATCTTGACCGAAATATTAATTTAAAACGAAAAACTAAGACAGTGTAAAAAATATGGCGACTTTCCTGACCGAAGCCAATCGTTTCCCATTTTTACTCGCTCGAGCAATACCAATTGTTGAATATTACGCGAGGCACCAAAACAAACTACGTCATTGATCGGGCCGGTCTGGTCGCGAAGTAAGCCGTGAACCAGTTCGTGTCTTATGTAAGCCGTACAAGTATAAATGGTTCTTTTCACGTCTTATGAAAGCCGTGGCCAGAGTAAGCCGCGGCTTATTTTTTCTCTTATAAACGGCCCTGATATCTTGGGCCCCGTCAACGCCAATGCGTTTTCGCTTAAAATGCACACATTTCGATGCGTTTAGAACTTCCATCCACACTAATAAGCTGAGCGTTTTCATCGAAAACGCGTCGATTTGAAAACTCTTATGAAAGTGGCTCCGGCTCAAAACTAAACCGCATACATATCCTCAGAGTGGACGGTCGAAAACGGTCTGAAAACGCTTCAAAGTGAAAACGATGATGAAAAATATCGCAGGCGCATGTGTTTGTAACAGTTATACTTACGTCACAACTTGCAATTCTATCGTTTTCGAACGTTTTAGTGTGGACAGTGAAAAACGTATCAAAACGGTAGTGTGGACGCGAATCCATCGATACGTTTTCGATGACAACGAAAACGTATACTTTTGAAAACGCATTATGTGGACAGGAACTTAGTTACTTAGTTTCTTCCTTTTCTTTTCCAGTCATCATTACTCAGTAACACTGTCTTCTAGGATTGTAATACAACTGACACTTATATGAAAGTAAATCATCGCAGTTATAGACGCAACTTTTGCAGTTGCGAAAAGATAGCCTAAAAAAAAATAGAATAAAATTCAGGCTTGTACGGGATTCGAACCCTTGACTTGTGCGATGGCGTTGCAATCGGCTCTTACCGCTGAGCCTATAGCCACTTTGTGAGTTTACAACATGTCCGTAGACATGAACTTAAATGCATGGAATTTTCACAGCAGAAGTGATAACTTCTTGTTGCTAATAGTTTTGAAAGAATAACAGTTTAGCTTTTAATACTTGCTGCCTGTTCACGCATTATGACTCATTTATTTCGCAGGCACAATAGGTTTGCTGGGTGTCAAGTCTCCAAAATTCGTTACTCACGGTCGTATGCTCAAGTCATTGTCAAGTAAACTACAAGATGCACCGTTTTATGTAGATCAAGCGAAAAGAAAGGTGTTTGTGGACTTTGGAAACAGTTTACCAATTGATGGAAATGGAAACTTGGCCAGATGGGTCCTCGATACTTTATTTTTGGCCGTGCCTAGGAACACAACTCCAGCGCTTAACTGTTTTGATGATTTCCTATGGCTAGGTAATATCAAATACAGGTCACCAAACTGGTATACCAACACTGCAGGAATCCAGGTTTTCCCATCATATGGCACTTTTTCACCACAAGATATGGACATAATTAATAGCAAACCATTGGTTGTCGCTAAGGTATTACTCAATGTACATAATTATACATGTAACAGATAAAAATGGCAAACATCGCTTTTCTTCGTGAGTATTTAAATCCAGCATAAAATTATTTAGGAATCAGTGCTAAAAACATGTTGTAAGCAATACTTAGTTTGCCAAAAAAAGCTTCCCATTGCGTGGTCTAAGACAACCTCCTTTCTAAAAATAGCGTTTTATGGATTAGGGAGACAGATGTCTCAGTGCTGTTAAGTTGTTTTTGTCCCATTTTTACACAAATACAAATATGACAGAAAAGGAGCCATTTGGTACCTAACTTTGCTTAGGAACAAGCTGCATAAAGCATAACCAAAATATTGCTTATTCACGATTTTAAACTTCTGGTAGCTCAAGTCAAAATCTATGGGCGGATTGAGGGGTTGGCCGAGTGCACCGTGGTCACAAGACTGACTATCTTTCCCCTGTTTACCCAGCACATGCTCTTGGACGGAAAATGAAATGTCTTTTATTTTTAGACTCTTGAAAATACTGCTCGTACTGAGCACTGATACAGCTTCTCACCGTACATGCACATCCTCGTTGTCGGTCTTCTTTGTCAAAATTTTAACACCTATGTTAATTTGTAGGTTAAAGGTACTTTGCCAAACTTGGACTGCAAGAAAATAGTGTTAGCGGAAGCTAAAGATGGTAGAGCTATTCATCCATACGACAAATGGGCTTTTCGAAAAAACCCTTCTGAGCAAGCTACTGTGAAGATCTTTGCAACAAAGTTTGGAAAACCTTTTAGTAACGCAGTTGTGATGCTGGAACCTTGCAATGTTAATTGTCCCAGATATATCGAAGAGGGACCATCAGTCGGTCAACCGCCATTGCCTGAAGTACCGTCCCATGCTCTCACTGATGGCAATGGGATCGCAGAGTACACCATTTCGACAATAGATCCTAAGAATAACAGGAGCTTCATCGACGGGCAGCTTTACCTTTTTAGATACTCCTTCTTCGATCAAAAGCTGACAGACTGCTTGGACATGTGCAAAAACGATCCTTACAAGTTACTTAATTCGCTGGTTGTTATTCGGGTGTTTGACAATTACACTATTGATGGCGAGCCAACCTGGTTAGATCATGTGTATCCTATATTCAAGCAATACGCCGACCTGTACCCAGTGATGACTGAAAACTTCGTAGATTTAGGGAATTACCATGAAGTTATAAATTATCGTCACAGGATCCAAGTATGTCTCGAGTTACCTGAATCACATCCAAACTACATGCCTGTTACACGAGACCTGTCGAAGCCCAAGCGCGATGTTATCTTGAAATGGCTTAAACAGGAAAATCCTCTTGTTGGTAATCCAGAAAACTTGTACACATTGGAGCAACTCCGTGAAGACCTACAGATTGCACTTCAGCTGGAACATTCAACTATTCCACCATACTTAACTGCTTGGGCCTCCATCAAAAAAAGCTACAACCAGGAGGTGAAAAATATCTTGAGAGACATAGTGATCCAAGAGATGATGCATATGGCTCTTGTTGCCAACATAATCAACGCTGTTGGAGGAAAACCGTCTTTTTATTCAGAAGATTTTATCCCCCACTACCCATCAAGACTTCCCGGTGGTGTACACCCTGATTTGGTAGTTCCAGTGGAGAAGATCTCCCTTGCGTTAATAAGGAATATTTTTATGACAATTGAGCAGCCAGAGTATGAGCTACAAGACAACCTGGTACATATTTGGGAATATGTTAACCGTACTAGATCCAGTCATTGTCGGACGAATGACAAAGGGACAGGCTGCTTGAAAGAAGACAAGAACAACTATCTTGGCCATTGTCACCATCCATCTGATTTGGAGGACATCGCAAGGTCTGGTATACGAGGTGAGCCTTGAGGACCTATTGTTACACTGTACTTGATTATGAGAGGGGCACTTTCATTTATACATGCACTATGTTGGTGAGTGCCCCTTTGAAGGGTAACATTTTTCAACAATTTGGTTTTTAAATCAGTCTGCTAGTGAACTTCATGATTTTATCAGACGCCTTCCTACTTAGACGTTTTTACACTTATCTATTGGGTTCAGCCAATTATATGACGTCAAAATTACGTACCATTGTGTCACTCTAATAGGCTACATTGTAGATCTGATATGAAATAATGATTACACTAGAAGTACGTGTATCGCAGAACCTCGTGAAACTAAGGTTAAGGGCCGGCAGAAAAAAAAAACTAAAACCGGACTATCAAAAAGTCGTACCCTGGACCGCTTTATTATTAGGCAGACTCCTTACCTTACCACTTAACTACGATACGTAACAAATAATATAATCGGGAAAAAAATATTATAAGCACGTTTCATCAGAAACTCTGTCGGAACACGCCGTTTAAAGATGGTAGAGCCGCACTTCAGGAAAAATAGGCAGCGTTTTGATTGTATAAAGGCCAACTTTAAACTGATTTCATCGCATTTGAAACGTACGTACGTGCCCCTTACTGAGACGATAAACTCGTTTGCAAAACAAATGCCGGTTATCTTACCTCTGTTTCGCTCTTATTCTGAAGCTGATTGTCCAAATCACTTCCTTGTTTTCTTTAATGAACTTCTGCTATCGAAATTCATCGCCAGAATAATTGCTTAACCGCTTCGAAAATATAACTTTTCGTACTAATTCAAGCTCCAGTTGTTTCACAAACTGGTTTCAAAAGTTGATGTTTCTTTAGCCAGGCAATCATAATCGTTACACACAAAAGCTGTCACACGTTCTCCACCTTACAAAAGGTTTAGCGCCAAAATACAGCACCAGTTGTTAAAATACTCAGCGATACTACACATCAAATGTATATTTTATAAAAAGCACTTCATTTTAATGTCAATGTATTTAGCACAAGTACTAAATGAGGACACTATTTTCCACTGGAAACGGGACCGTCATTTTGCGTGGTCATCTGAGCTACGCGAAACACTCATTATAGGCACTAAAGTACTAATTGGGGATACTATATTGACGCGGAAACGGGACGCTGATTTTAAGTGGCCAACCGTTAAATGTACTTTGAATTAAACCAACAAATAAGGTTTTTATTTTTAATTTCAGGTCACCTACCTGCTGCAATGGAACGATCGCGTCAAGTCATGGCAAATAAGAAAATGGGGAAACAGGTATTGTGGTCGCTAGAGAAGTGATTACTAAGAAAGAGAGCGCAATTTCTCAATCCTTGTTATGTGGTAGCTTATGTAGGAAATCTGTTACCACCAGCTAACCTCCCTTCTTTACCACGAAGGCTGGTGATTATAAAAATGGAAGGGCTCAAACACGTGACCGCTTTAATTGGGCTCATCAAATACAATAATGTAACATTGTCATAGCGAAGATAAATTTAGAATGTTTTAAGTACATGGGTATGGCTTAGGAGTCCCGCTGGGTTGAAGCAAAGCTGGCACTTGTTCTTAGTTGTATTTGGCAAAAATCACCCGTGTTTTCTTCTGAAATTGACTTGTTTCTTTTAATCTTTATCTCAATGTATTCAGCTCCCTGATAAAGAAAGTAGCAAATTTGGACATCACTATAACACAATTGGTAATTTTTACCATCACATCTTGAAAGTCCTTGGAAATTTGACAGATTGTGGAAATAATAACAGCATCTTTACAGGACACATGAGTAAACAGGTTACAACTCGCTGGCATCTTAAAAAGCACGATAACATTTCAGTCTACGACTACCACTCTGCCGTTGACGCCATTAACACGATTATTGACCAGGGTGAAGGAAGCAATCCTTGTAACCCCATTACTAAGGATGAACTGGGTCAAAAGGATCTTTCACATTACTTCATGTTTCAATCAATTGCCGAGGAGAGAGGGATTCAAGTGGTCAAGGCGAATACAAAAACTGCTGATGCTGCGGCTTTGGGTGAACCGCCGAAGGTACGTTGTACGAGGCAAGAAAATAAAGATGGGATATAGGGAGGATGGAATATCATGTCCCTCTTCAGTGTAGTGCTATCTAGCTGGTATCATAGTCTTTCAACTTTCCATATTTTTTCAGAAAGAGCCAGGTTATTCTATCCTTTTGTGGAACCTTCAACTGCGGGATGGGTAGCAATGTTTCTTAGCAACATTTTCAATCTGCGTCCTGTGAAAGATATTGATGTAAGCCAATTTTTATGGCCCGTTCAATCAAGTTCATTGTTTTTTATCTCCCATATCCCTAATGTTTTACGCTCTAAAAAGATTACTGATGATAATTGTGGTTTACCCTCAATAGCCTTGCAACGGCAGCTACTACTTCAATGGTTCCAAGATAAGCTTTGATCCCGAAGGTGTTTGGCCAATGATTCCTAATCCCCAGCTGTCGGATTATACGCCCGGCTCAAAAGCGTACAGGCAAGCTGTATTGTTCAACAAAGCGTATACCAAGTTGCTCAAATCTCTGGAAAACGCCTTTAACGGCAACCCTCATGAGGGACTGGAGAATGCTATCGGCCTTATGTACGGAGTTGAGCTTCACTTGAAAAAATTGTTACGCACGCCTGTTGACGATGATGGTGACCCAGATATTGGCCCTAACGCTGGTCCGACTTTTGATTTTACACCGTAAAGCGTTCTAGATTTGCGCAGTGCCTTTTGCTAAGTATATTCATTACTTAGATGATGAATTCATTCTGATTAATGTCATTTTGCACGTGATTAGCTTTTTACTGTAAAGGTAATTTTGTTAGCAGATTTCACTTTTTTAGACGCGTGTCTATCTATGATCTTCATGTAGGTTTTGCAATTTAACACTGTTCAGTTTGGAGTTTCACTTGGCGTTTGAAGATTTCAGGTTGGTTACTATCATGTCGTGAAGCAACATTAGTTTGTAAAGTTTGTAAACAGTTAGAGACGCCGACATTATAATTTTCGTGAGAGTTCCACGTGTTTTCATGAGAGTGCTCAGGAAGCTGTCCAAGAGTGCTATGGCGTCTTGCTTGCGGTGCTCTCTAGCTAGTTTTCCCACGCTTGTACGATCAGTTTAAAAAGCATGTTGCACGGTTAGGGTTTATGTTCGAACTTTTGAGCAAACAGCATAGTTGTTGAAAAGCTGTTAAAAAGTTGCCTAGTTTTCCAAGGTTATACGATCATTTAAGAAAAAAAAAACAAACAAACCAACAAACAACAAAAACAGGTGTGCAGTTGGGTATGTTATTTGAATTTTTGAGCAAATAGTAGAGTTGCATAAGGGCTGTTAAAAAGTAATGTAGTTTTGGTGAGAAGTGCTTCCTTTCAATAAAGTTTACAGTTACTATGTGACTTCACGTTTACGACCAATCAATTCCTAGCTGTTTTGTCTAGTCTCGATGTGAACAAAGCCCCTGGCCCAGAGGAAATTCCAGCCGGAATACTTAAGAAAAACAGCTCACGATATTGCCCCTTCACTCTGTGATCTCTTCAATACTGAAACTTGCTTAGACTTGGCTTGCTCCCTACAGAATGGAAATTGGCTAGCATAGTCCCTGTATATAAGAAGTACAATAAAGAATACGTCGAAAATTATCGACCTAACTCACTTATCTGCTTAGTCGCTTAAATAACAGATTATTAAGGATTAAGTATATAGCCTGGTCGGCAGCTGCCAACATGTCTTCATGGCAAAGCGTTCGTGCGTTACGCATCTGGTTGACAAAGGGGGACTAGTGGACATTACCTATTTAGATGTGTCTAAGGCTTTCGATAAAGCGAGCCATCCGGCAAACTACTCACATTGCTGCAACAACACGGTTTTGGTTGGAACTTACTGGCTTGATTCTAGAGTGTTCGGAGGCACTTCCTGTAACCTCTGGAGTGCCCCAAGGTTCGATCTGAGGCCCCATGCTGTTTCTCTTATATGCGAATTCGCTGCCAGACGTTGTGAAATCAAGTCGAGTCGCCACCTTTGCCGATGACACTAAGATGCTTCAACGTCAATGAGGGCAAACTTAAGAAAGCCCCCTCTTGTTTTCCAATGGAAATTATAGCCGTTCCTGTGACAGATTATAATGAAAATTATGCAGAAAATCATCTCTTTCCGAATGGGTCATCACAACAAAACTAAAAAAGGAAACAGTGTAAAAGTATGGAAACCGAACCATTGTTTACTGAACAGAAAATTGGACCACAAAACTGAGAAACAGGTCAAAAGTTGCTGAAATCACAAAACCGAAAACTGACCAGTATCCCTTCTTTTAATAAAAGACCGCGTTAAGTTAGGTCTTGAAAATGTAAGTCACGAAATGCGGATCAAAGCAGTTTGAAAGAAACGCAAAGATGTAAGCCTTTGTACAAATAATTTAAAAAGAATAAAGGACCCACAGAAACCTTCACTTGAAACTGCAATGCAATATTGTAAAACAAAATTGAACATAAGTCAGTGTAGTCAAAACTATTTGGAAGCCCCTTTGCAAGACAGTTTCATAATAGCAGGTTTGTCTTCTACTCCTACAAAACTCGAACACTGATCACATATCGATGACAAAATCTCGTTTTTTCAACATGCACACCTCCTCGAAGCACGTCTTACTACGCTATTAAACCAATCACGTGCATCGCTTTCCCACTCATGACAAGTTAATCGAAGCATGGGTCCCCAGTTATTAAGTCGGAAAGTGAGGGGCTGGTCTATCTTTCGATGCATTAGCAGTAGCAGGTTGAAAACTTACATACACTGCTAGTTTTTGTCTATTTAGCCCGCACAAAATATGCAAATGAGGTCACGTGCCTCGCAACGCCCAGAAAAGCTTTGAACTAAAATGGGCACACATTTTTTCTACTAGTTTCATGATTTTAAGGCCATTAGGTATGTCATTTCTGCGCTTGGCAATATCAACATTTTTAAAGGACAAGCATGTTGTATTGGGAGACTAGGTAATAGTCGGAAAACCCCGTTTATTTGCAAAATAAACGAGATATTTTAAAGTTGCCAAGCGCAGTTTTGTAACTGCTTACATTGTATTTTCGTGCACCACTTAAGTAAAATACTCAGGCTCTTGCTAAAAAGTGCGCCCATTTTTTTTTTT